GATGGGGGTAGGTTCTGACAGTAGTCTTGCTATATTGCTGTACAGCTCCCAAGTTTTAGAATAGTTATAAAGAGATGTTCAGTAATTTTTAAATTAAATATGTATATCCAATGTTTGCTGCTCCCACCTACACAGGGTGATCATATAGGCACAATGTTAACTTAGCCTTGAACCTATTTCCCAAAGGAATCCATTCGCTTAATTAGTTTTTAGAAAAATCCAAAGTATGTGGTCATGGTGGAAAGAAGATACTGCATGGCTCATCCAGCAATTTCCTAGGTTTCTTTCTGTTCTTCCTTCTTCCCAAGTATTTTACATTTACATTTTTTTCATTTTTATGGTGATAAAATACATGTCACAAAATTTGCCACAAGTGCCATTTAGTACATTTACAATGCTTTTCAATCATTACCACTATCTAATTCTGAAATATTTTCATTGCCACAGAAAGGAACCCTATACCAGCTAAGCAGTCACACCTTATTTTCACCTCCCCGTAAGTCCTGGCAGCCAGTAATATGCTTATTGATGATTTCATAACGGCATCATACAATATATAACCTTTTATATCATGCTTCTTTCACTTTGTTTATTATTATCAAAGTCCACCTGTGCTGTAGCATGTGTCAATACTTTATTTCTGTTTATTGTTGAATAATATTCCATTGTATATATGTACCACATTTTATGTATGCATTCAGCAATAGATAAATATTTACTTTTTCATCTTTTGGCAATTATGAATAGTGCTGCTATGAATATTTGTGTACAAGTTGGTTTGAACTCCTTATTTCAAATCTTTTGGATATATATGCAGGAGCTGAATTTCTAGATCATATGGTCATTTCTATATTTAACTTATCCAGGATAATCACACAATTTTAAATTCACATCAGCAATGTACAAGGGCTCCAATTTCTCTACATTCTTGATAACACACAGTTATTTTCCACTTTTTGATTTTTTAAATTAAAGTCATCCTAGTAGATATCATCCTATGATGTAATATTTCAATTTGCTTTTGATTTCCATTTCCTAAATGGTAAATAATGTTAAGTGTATTGGCCATTTCTCTGTTTTACTATCTAGAATATATAAAGAGCATTTACAGTTCAACAACAGAAAGACAACCCAATTTATACAAGTCCTTTGCCCATGTTTAAATTGGGTTGTCTTTCTGTTGTTGAACTGTAAATGCTCTTTATATATTCTAGATACTAGACGCTTATGAGATACCTGGTTTGCAAATACATTTCCCATTCTGTGGATTGTCTTTTTGCTTTCTTGATAGTGTTCCTTTATTTTTCCCTTGTTACATTTATCTTTATTAGCTTCAGTGTCCAACAGAGACCGGTATATAGTTGCTCCTCATTAAATGTTTGTTGAATGAAGGCACTGATGAATGCAGTAATTAACACAATATCCCCCAATGTTCATGGGATTTTTATTGTTATAGTTATATGCCCTAGGTTTTATTTTCTGAAAAAATCTTACATTCCCTTTAATTTTTAGATTAAAAAATAAAGTTATAATTTATACATAGAAAAATTCATGCTTTTTTTTCTGGTAAGATAATTATATATATATATATATATATACACACACATACATAATTTATTGCACTTTAGGTTCTGGGGTACATGTGCAGAACATGCAGTATTGTTGCATAGGTACCTACATGGCAATGTGGTTTGCTGCCTCCATCCCCCCGTCACCTGTATCAGGCATTTATCCCAATGTTATCCCTCCCCAACTTCCTTACTCACCACTGTCCCTCCCCTAGAACCCACCCAACAGACCCCAGTGTGTGATGCTCCTCTCCCTGTGTCCATGAGTTCTCATTGTTCAACACCCACCTGTGAGTGAGAACATGTGGTGTTTGATTTTCTGCTCTTGTGTCAGCTTGCTGAGAATGATGGTTTCCAGGTTCATCCATGTCCCTACAAAGGACACGAACTCATCATTTTTGATGGCTGCATGAAGTTTTCTTTTGTTGTTGAGTCTCTGCCGGGTTTTGGTATCAGTATGATGTTGGTCTCATAAAAAGATTTGGGAAGGATTCCCTCTTTTTGGATTGTTCAGAATAGTTTCAGTAGGAGTGGTACCAGCTCCTATTTGTATGTCTGGTAGAATTCGGCTATGTACCTGTCTGGACGTGGGCTTTTTTTGGTTGGTAAGTTATTAATTGCTGCCTCAACTTCAGCCCTTGTTATTGGTCTATTCAGGGTTTCAACTTCTTCCTGGTTTAGGCTTGGGAGGGTGCAAGTTTCCAGGAGTTTATCCATTTCTTCCATGTTTACTGGTTTATGTGCATAGAGTTGTTTGCAGTAATCTCTGATGGTAGTTTGTATTGCTGTGGAATCAGTGGTGATATCCCCTTTATCATTTTTTATTGCATCTGTTTTATTTTCCTCTCTTTTCTTTTTTATTAACCTGGCTAGCTGTCTGTCTATTTTGTTGATCTTTTGAAAAATCCAGTTCCTGGATTTATTGATTTTTTGAAGGGTTTTTTGTGTCTCTATCTCCTTCAGTTCTGCTCTGATCCGAGTTATTTCTTGTCTTCCATATGAGAAGCAAGGAAAGATCTAAAATCGACACTGTATCATCAAAATTGAAAGAGTTAGAGGGGCAAGATAGTGTTCTTTATTCCTGTCTTTGATGCTTTACCTCCAATGCCTTCTTTCTCTACTATCTCCCAGGAACAAATATATTCCTTCATCAGGTGTGAATGAGACGTTCCTCTACACTCTGTCTAACTAAAACAGCAGTCCAAGTACAGTCAGGCATCGTGGAGCTTAGGCTTCATTAAGAATATTCTATTATCTCCAAAAATACAGGTCTGCATAAGAGAAATTTCATACCAGCAGTTAAGAAAATAAAGTATATTCCATGTTTTTGTCAGTAATGATAGTTTTCTATACTGAGCAACAATTCTTTTCTTTTAAAACATTATACAAAATGGTTCTGCTTTTATAATATAGTTATTCTAGCAAAGAAGTTGATGCAGTGGTGATTTGTCAGTTTCAAACAATTGACAACTTGTCCTGGGAGCATTGAAAACCCTGATATAGACATATGAAATATAATTCTTGCAGAGGCAACACTATGGGTAAATCCTATCTGCAGAAGAGCAGCTCTATTACAGAATAGTTGTCTAGAAGGCTTCAACTACCTGGTACAATTAGACCAAGTGTGAAATATTAGATACCCAGAGTACTGAAAACAAGGTGGACTTAAAAATTTATACATTTGTGTATTAATCCTCAACCATAAATAAATAAAACAAAAATGTAGACATTATAATTCAAGATGGAAACTGTTTTTTTTTACTATCATTTCCTCTAGATTAAAAAAAGGTTTAAGTTCATCCTTATTCCTGTGCTATGTAGCAATATTCTTTTTGACATGTCTTTACTTTAACATTGTCTTCTTTTCTGAACTGATTTGATTGCAGTACCTAAAGAATAAATATCTGATATCTTTCACAGACAGGGGCAGAGCAGATAATGTAAATATAAACTTATGACTCCCTTAAGGATCAGCTGTTTCTGGTTGGTTTCATATCTGTATTCTGTCATCCTGTATTCTGTATATCTGTATTTCATGTCTGTATCTGTGTTCCTATAACAATTCTGGGAGAATATTTACTTATTTCTATGAAATTTATTTGAATGAATGCAATGTTTTTTTTAATCAGCTGTGAAAGTATGGTTTGAAAATGTAATATTGTGTATAAGCTGAATTTTAGCATCATTAATGAAACAAATTTTGTTCCATACTTTTAAATTTTTCAAAATTGTAATCAGATCTATTCAGCTACATATTTTTGCAATACATATTCATATGTTTGTATGTATACACATGCACACATACACTTTCATGTACATGTAGTCTACTCTAGTAGGTTGAATGGTAGCTTCCAAAAATATATGTTCAAATTGTAACTCTTGGCAACTCTGAATGTGCCCTTTTCTGAAAAAAGATCTTTGGAGAAGTAATTAACTTGATAGTCTTGGGATAAGATCATCCTGGATTACCTGGGTGAACTCAAATCCCAATCACTGGTGTCTTCACAAAAATGAGTCACAGGTGTATCATACAGCTACTCCTCAACTTAGGATGGAGTTACATCCCCATCAGACCTGATCATGAGTTGAAAAATCATAACTCAAAAATGGCATTTAATACGCTTAACCTATGGGACATCACAACTTGGCCTAGCAGACCTTAAATGTGCTCAGAACACTTACCTTGGACTACACTTGGGAAAAATCATCTAACACAAAACTAATAAAGTTATAAAAAATTTGAATCAAAATTTAATATTTAAAGTATGGTTTCTACTGAATGTGTGTCACTTTCACATGGTCATAAAGTAAAATAATAAGTTGAACTATCATAAGTTGGGGACAATCTTACAAAGGAAAAAAGAAATAAAGGAGAAGGTGATATAAAGGCAGACAGTGAAGATTGTAATAATGTCCGTATTAGCTAAAGCATGCCAAAGATTGCTGACAGCCAACACAAGCCAGAAGAGATAAATATACATTTATTTAGCAGAATATGTGTGATATCAGAATATATATTCTTTAGTGTTTTACATATATATAAAATGCTTTATATATACATAAAATGTTTTATATATATAAATGTATTTTGTTCCAGTCCACTAAGTTTGTGATATTAATAGTTTTCTTATGGCATTCCTAGAAAACTAATAAAAATGTTCATACTGGGAAGTGGCTCTGGAATTAGATAATGGTTAAGGGCTGGACAAATTTTGTGGAGCATTAAAGAAAAAAGTATAGAATTTTCTTGAAGGGACTGTTGGTAGAAATATTGACATTAAACGTATTTCTGGTGATACATCGGAAGAACATGAGGAATATAGTATTGAACACTGGAGAAAAACATGTCTCTGTTATAAATTGGAAGACAACTTGGCTGAATTGTTTTCTTTTCTTTTCTTTTTCTTTTTTTTTTTTGACACTTAGAGGTGGCTCAGGCTGAGCACCTTTAATTATCCTCACTGAGAGAACTGAAAACTACTTGACAGATTACATAATCAAGAAGTCAGAGATTCAGATCATCAAAAAGGGGGATTGTCACCTACCCCAACGCCACAGATAGACAGGATTCTGGGTCCCAGACTGAGTCTGGGAGGTGGAGCCCTGTGAAAGGCAGCTTTGACAGGTGGTGTCTGTTGGACACCAGCTTCTGGGCCGGCCCTGCTCTCTTCTCAGGTTCCGGACAGGGTGTGAGGGCAGAGACCTGGCTCCAGAGAACACCAGAGGAACACGAGTTGGGGCCAGGCTTGCTGAGGGCGTCACATAGAGTTTTTGGAGGGAAATTCCCACTGGCCTTGGCCCTTGCCACCAAAGTTCTGCACACGATGGATAATCTGCAGCTGCTGCTCAATGGTGGAGGTGATGTTCACATCATCTGGGATGTGGACGTAACGGACATTGAGGCCTGTCACAAAGAGGTCATCCAGCTTGACCTGATGCCCCCAACGGTCCGTGTAGGTGACTTCGGCTAGGCGGATGTTCATGAAAGCATCGACATTGTCTATGCGTCCGTGGGCCACACTCTCATCCCGCAGGTCCACTGTGGTTACCTGGCCCTGGAGGCCCTGCAGTAGGATGATCAGGCTGTTCTCAGAGATGGTCCGCTCCTTTACTGAGTGGCTCACCGCCATTCTTCCACACTGGCTGTCTGCTTGCACGCAGCATTCCTTCCACTTTCCCCGTCTGGGTCGCCGCCGTAGCTAACGGGCGCCTGGCCGGATTGCCTCCTGCCGGCCGCAGCAGGACGGAGACACCATGCCGGCGACCCGGCCGCTCTGTCCTCCGGGAGCGGACTTGGTTGAATTGTTTTCTACTCTTGGGTGGTAAACAGAACTTGTAAGTAGTGAGATAGGTATTTCACTGAGCAAATTTGCAAGCAAAGTGTTGTCAACCTAAAGAGAACAACAGAAAGAGTAGCTCTTAAAAGTAAATTTACTCAGGAATGGATAAGAGGTTAAATCTGGGAAGATACTTGCCTTTGGGAACCATAGAGGGGCATAGGTATACCCATGGAGGCAAAGCAAGGCAAGGGATTTTAAAGGCAGAATAAGAAGAGCTACATACATTATTCTGAAATATTTGTTCTTGGCTATGGAGATCAGTAACAAGAATAGCATCGATCAAAGGCTGAACAGTCAATTGCTGGGCAGATGTCCTCACAGAAGTACTCTTTGTATAAGGTTGTGATGGCCATTGTGAAAGATCGTGTTTTTCAGAGAGTACTTGTAATATTTTATCACAGGCATGTGTGCACGAGAGCCTTTCCTTTATGGCCTTCCCGCTCTATTTTTGTTACAGATTTGCATAAGTGACTCCATTTTGTTTCTGACAACATTTTTAGTGTTAATTATGTACCTTGGTTTCTCCTTATTGCATGTAACAAAATGTGAGAAGAAAGAGAGAAACTCAGGGAAGAACTGTTCATCAAAGTGGAATTGGCACTGGGTTCTTTGGATAGGTTTCTAACCTCTACAGATTTTAAAGTATGCTAAACTAGGTTGTTTGCTGTTAGGAGAGCATTCTCTGGAGAAAGATTCAAGCATGTGTCTGGAAAACTTTTGCTGAAGGAATGGGGTGTATCACAGATGGATCCAATCAACCATCTCAGCAAAAGCCAGTAACAGGGATGGGATTTTCTAAGGAGAATGTGTAGAAAACGCTCTTATCTAATAGTATGTACACTCATGACATAGATGGGAGAAGATAGAATGTTTGAGACTGCTATTTTAGCAGAAACACTGCCAGCTTGGAAAAAAGAGGACAGAGACAGAATGAAATGAAAATGGGTTTGGGATTTTGAGATTCTACAGGTAGGAAGTGAGCTGATAGAGATCATTGATTGAAAATATATGCTACCCTTCTGGAAACAAAATGACTCCAAGGCCAGAGCCAAGGATGCAGACACAGAGGCCGGAGGGGTGGGTGCAGAGGAGTATGGAGCCTGCTGCTGCCAGAGCTTCTGTGAGATAATAAATTTTTGCTATTTTAAGTTATCAAGTTTGTAGTAATTTGTTACGGCAGCCTCAGGAAAGAAACGCATTCACATTTCCTGAAATTTTCATTCTAATTGGCATTCTATTTTAGATAACACTTTAAACCATCTTCCCAGCAGAATGTGTGACTGGCAATTTCTCTCTCTCTCTCAAACTTCTCTCCTTCTCCTTCCGTCCCTCTCCCTTTCTTGTGTAAATGTAAAAGCTAGATAAAAAGCAGAGTAGAAGATAATATGGTATCACAAAAATAATTTTTGAATTAAAGCCAAACTAGTTTTAAAGTCTACTCCCTCACTCCTTACTGTGTAACCTTGAGCAACTGAGTTAACCTCTCTAACCTACTCTTTTTTTT